CTTCACCTGGCGCCGAAAAACAAATAACGACGGCGCCAGGCGGACCCCTCTGGGGAGCGCATTCCATAACTTAGGCGCCACCGCTGAGAAAGCCCTCCTCCGAGTAGCCACCCTCCTAATTTCTCTCACGGAGGGCTCCCGGAGAGGGGCCTCTCCCGCCGATCTCAGGGGGCGACTGGGCATATATGGATGTAAGTGCTCCTTCAGGTAACCAGGACCCAAGCCGTTTAGGGCTTTATAGGTCATCACCAACACCCTGAATTGGGCCCGGACTTCAAAGGGGAGCCAGTGAAGCTGACGGAGAACTGGAGTCATGTGAACATAACGTCCAGTCCCCGTCAGTAGCCTGGCAGCTCTATACTGAACCAATTGAAGTATCCGGACCGTCTTCAAGGGTAGCCCCACATAGAGTGCATTACAGAAGTCAAGACGGGAAGTCACCAGCGCATGAGTCACTGATGCAAGGCAGTCGTACTCAAGGTAGGGGTGCAGCTGATGAATCAGCCGAAGCTGGAGGAAAGCGCTCCTCGCCGCTGCTGTCACCTGAGCTTCGAGTGAAAGCTCCGGGTCGAGGAGCACTTCCAAGCTGCGGACCTTGTCCCTAGGAGGGAGTGCAACCCCGTTCAGGACAAGGTTCAATTCACCTTCTCCGAAGCCCGAACCGCCAACCAACAGGACCTCCGTCTTGTCTGGAGGACAATAGCCAAGAATTACTGTTTTGGGTGAGATTTAAGAACAGCCCTACATTGCATGAACTCACTGATTGCGGGATTCTAGCTATTTAATTAAGAGTCTAATTCAGGCAGCCAATTATATACCATCAAATAAGCAAAACAGAGGCCTGAAACTGGAACTCCCATGTTGCTATATTGAAGATCCATAAATTTTAAAGCACCTTGTTTAAAAAGATTAGTTTTAGGATGTGTGCACCCAAAAAGCAGCCAGAGGTCCTTTCTGAACTATTTTAAAATGAATAAATATATTCATAGTGAAGCCTCTGTCAGTACCATTAAATCTAGTTCATGCTGCACCATAAATTGCACAGCTGTCAACAAACTTTGCCTGGGCATGCTAGCCAGCCGTGGTCTGTAGTAGCTACTGAGGTATTGCTCTCCCACTTACTTCCCCACAGAGGGAAAGTGCATGTGGATGCTTGCAGATGGAGGGCTCCTAGCACTACCAGTGACAAGGCATTGTACTGCTATTGCATCTTCCTTCCAGAACTGGTTTTCTGCTGGAAGGAGAAGGCATGGGAAATCATCGGGACCCACTGTAATATTCCATAAATAAGGCAGGGCAATGGCACAATAAGAGTCTTGTCTGGCACCATACAGTAAGAGAAGGAAGAAGTGATTGGCTGATGATGCAACCAAACCCATGATGAGGTTTTCCAAAACAAGATTATGGTTTTCTGAAAGAGACACTCCTAGCCTTCTAGTGATACCATGAATGTTTGGGGTTCACTTCTTTTTACTCTTGTGGTTAAGTATGTTGATTAGCAAAATTAAATATCTGGGTACCAAACAATGGCAGTTGCTAACCTGTGTAAGAGGAAAATCCTATTTTTCCAGGGCATAAATAACTCCTGCCCCAAAAGCACTATCTTGAGAAGAGAAATAGATCTGTTCAAAGATTAGGCCCTCAAAGACAGCCCTGTGAATCCCACTGTAAGAAACAGCACAGCCCAAGTCTGGAAGTAAAACTGTTGTCAAATCCAAATGTATGACAATGAGAATCAGTTTTGGTTGTGCAGATTTCTGCAACAGAAGAGAACTGGATCAATGTTTCTTGAACCAACAGGGACATTATATATGGTGGAAACTGAGAATGAACCACAGGTCCACAGTCTGTGTATGCACTGGGTTAGATCCAATAGGTTGACTAAGTTTGGATCGCATCCATTGCACGCGCACACGCACACACACAAAACCTTTCTCAGATCACAAGCAACTCCGTTTCTTATGTACCACACGTAGAAAGATATTTTCTTCAAAGTGTGAAGCAGCCCCCAGAGAGCTGTCACTTACCCGGACGGAGCTGAGGTTCAAGGAGTCCAGGATGCCCGGG